GAAGAAAATGAAACCTTTATTAATATTAGATCGCAATTTTCGGTACTTGTACCTCTGTACAGCTAATTTTAAAGTTAGTTTAGTTTCAGTTACAATAAGTGCGCGTTTACCATTAGCGCCAGTATGCATTATTTCGAGGCAAGAGTTTGCATTTCTATCTTATTGTTGCTCTGGCCTCGTTTGGATGCAAATATTTTATAGTTCAAGCCCGAGCGAGCCCTGCCGCATTTTAGTTTCTTTCGCTTCCTGTAATTTGCGTTTTGTGTTTTGTTTATCCGTTTTTCATTTTGCTTATTCTAATTTAAAAGGGACCTGCATAAAGCCACGGATATTATTCGAGTCGAGAGGCTCTGAATTGCGAATGTTCGTCTCTGCTATTCCTCATTCTGACAATTTATGAGTCATCCAATGTGTTCATGTTTATTCGGAACATTTTCGCTCACTTTGTTTTAGAAAAATATTCGATTCCTTTTTTATTTATTTATTGCTTAGATGAGTGAACGAGCTGACAGCCCACCTGATGTTAAGTGGTTACTGGAGCCCATAAACATCTACAACGTAAATGCGCCACCCACCTTGAGATATAAGTTCTAAGGTCTCAAGTATAGTTACAACGGCTGCCCCGCCCTTCAAACCGAAACGCATTACTGCTTCACGGCAGAAATAGGCAATGTGGTGGTACCTACCCGTGCGGACTCGCAAGAGGTCCTACCACCAGTAAATCACAAATATTCAACGTGTATTGTCGGTTGCTAACCACCTCTACAATGAATGTTGGAGCGGTATTTAAATAAACGATGTCAAATTGTGTTAAATGCTGTTTTAGATCGTTAAGTCTTAATGTTTTGCTGAACTTTGTTTATTTAACGGTCCGAAAGTAATGTTGCAAGAATTAAGTACGAATTCAAAAGAGCACTGACCTTATAACGAGAATAATAACAATTTATTCTGTCCAATGCAAAAACAAAAATTAGTTAGACTAATATTTCACCATACTCGCCATACTCACAGGTATATAAAGAAAGGACAGCACCTGTCAAAAAACCCGTTGATATCCGACAAGCGTTACATAAATCGTCTTTTCGCAATAAAAGTGTACAATTTCCAAAAATATTCGAAATTGAGCCAATATGCGGAATCATTTGGTACCACCAGTATTTTTCTCATAAATACTGTCAAAAGAGCGTACTTTAGTATTAGATATATTTTTTTTTAGTTTACCTATGTTTTGACTGCTATTAACAAAATTTATACATAATTTTATCTTATAATGCTTTAAAAGACAGATACTGTAACTGGTAAAAATATAAAATAAATGTTGGAAAGATGATTAGTATTAAAAATATCACATGTTGAAAACCTTTAAAACACTCATCTGTAAAATTAGTAAGTTTTGAAATTATACAGTTTTAATGCGAGAAGACGAAACGCCATAAATACGTTCATTCCCGATTTTTTTTTCCCCGTACCCATTTACGCAATTGGCTCAAATTTATTCGCACTCCTCAAACGTAGCACTCAATGCCGCTTCTTTTATTTGTAGCTGATAAAGTTCAGCGATTGTGGGTTCGTTGACAAGCCACTCCATTCTGGAGTTCGGCCAGACTTCGCCAAACTCTGCGGTCTTTTATATAGTACGCACGAATTTTTCAAGCAGAAGTGTATCTACTCCGTTTTAATTTACCCATTTTGGCACGTCCCAACGGAAGTACGGATCATTTGTATTAGGAATACGGATAATATGATCCGAGAGGCAGCGACTAAATTACACGACGCCCCTCGGAGAGTTAGTCGTTTTCGTTATTACGAGCCTTCTGGAAAGCTCCTAGCTCCCCCCGTAAACATAAAGCTAAAGGAATATTCGGCAAAAATAATTATGCCGTATGAATATATTAACTTTATCGTCGATTCGTGTTGTATTCTTTTATCCAGTTTATACGCTGGTTTTCATGTTTATTTGCGTCGCTTCTTCGATTATCACGTATCAGGGTTATATTCCTCGAAATTATCGACTACAATTGTTTTATGTTGTTTTTTTTTGACGGAATCCGCGATTTACTTTGTTTATTATGCTTCTATAGATACAACAAAATTTCTGATTTATGAAACTTAAAGCTCGAACCAGAAACAGTAGGATACAACTGTTATTTTAACTCTCATCTTAACTTGACGTTGGCATATATAATAACACATGTACGTTTAGTTGTAATATGTTAGATATTAAATTAATATGTTACTAAAATACTACTAATGTATTTCACCACATTCTAACATTAAAGGAAATATTACAAACGGATAGAAAGTGTGCCATCCAATTAATTATACTACGTAATAACCAAACTTAATCCAATCCGGTATCACGTAGAATACATTGACTATTTTTATACTCAATTACTATTTGGGTAAGTCAAATCGAATAGTTGAAGATGGGCAAAGAGTGAAAAAAATATTCTCAGGTCATGGAGTTTATTCGTATCAAAAAAAAACCCTTTTAAAAGTTAACGACTCGTTTTAAATTTGAAATTTTAATTATTTCTAAAATTAGAATAATAAAGGCGTTAATAAAGTCCAGAGCTTCTGTATTTTGCTTCGGCTATTACGAAAATTAATTTACAAGATTAATTAAATTCTATGAACCATTTAATTAGTCTGTAACCTCTATGGTTGTACACTAATGAATTGCGTACTTCGTTCTGCTTTGTTGCAGAATAACTTAATTCCTTCATTTTTCATTATATTATTTACCTAAACAAATTAAATTTAAAGATGTTTTATGAAAAACAAGTAAGAAATAATTTGCTTAGATTATTACATTCGGTACAATAATTCTCAACTCATAGGAAAAATCCTCTATTTGTACCATACGTTTAAATGGCAAAAAATTTAAAGGGTAAAATAAACAACAAAAGTATAGTTTTCGAAATTTTATTTACGTATTCCCATTTATTTTCACAATACTTATTAATTAACAAATAAACCTTTCGTGTACTGTACAATATAGTTATAGATGATGTCGTGCAAAGAATTGACATTATCTTAAGTGAAACACAGCCATAGATTAACGCCTATGAATAATAATATTATTCGTCAGAAGCTTAGATTAAGGTAGACGTAACAAAGTAAAGTAAGTTTAATTAATTTACGTTAGCAGCCGAAGAATTAATTCATCTAACCTTAAATTATCTTCAATTAATTCAAACGATTATTAGATATTCCCAGACTCTTATTTACTTCAGCAAAAAAATATCAAAAATAAATATATTTTAAAAGGATTAAAATGTACACCTAAAGGAACATAATATTATAAATTTCCCGGTATATCGCCACCGGTGACGATTTCTACTACCCAAGCCACAAGTGAGTGGCTCTTCAGAGTGAGAAACCTCCTCGCTAAGCACCCCTAGCCAAGGATACCTGCTTTGTCTACCTGGGTCTGTAGCATTTGGTGTTGTGTTGGCCCATAACTACCCAGCCTTGAGACGAGAGGTAGGAAGCTCAAGCTTTATTATATAAATACTGTTTTACCCCTCAAACCAGTACGCACAACTGTCTCGTGGCTCTGGCCAGGCTCTTGTGTAGTATAATTGAAAACATTTGATTAAAAATAATAATGAGAAACGGCTCGATTGTTCAGCTTAGTGTGCTTTTCGAAACTTATCATTAATTGATTAGCTTGGTATTTTTTTGCATTAATATAAATTCTTTCATAACTGTTTCAATATGGACGACATCATGTATTTCTCGACAACGTCTACCTTATTCTGTTGTCTGAGTATTATTTACGAAACTAATCACACTCTGAAAAGCTACGAAATTGCGGTTCTCTTCGGGATTCTGAAATGATTGGTGATAATTACACTTTGTATTAGAAGCAAAGAAATAAATTTTTCCACCGATTCTTCTCGTGTGTAGTTGTATGTATCCAAGTTGTGTATTTGTGTTAGTAAAATGCTTCAAGAGATAATTTATATTCAATTTGTTATTACATTAACATTCAGTAACAATTCATTTGTTTCAATTTTGCTGCTGTGAATTTGTTTCGCAATATTACATTAAGAGTTACGGATAAATGTTATGTAATTTTCAAAAAGATGCAATGTTTTCTTTGAATTTTTATAATTTTTTCTATGCTTTTAATATTTGTTGTTAATCAACAGCAATTCGCTAATTGGTAAAATTTAATACAGAATGTACAAAAAATAATTTTTATCTTCATATTGCATTAATTTAAGATTCTATGGGGTATTTATAGATTTTATTTGAAATTACATCAATGCGTAGCGTTACATGAAATCTTATGAGTGTTTTTTTTTAAATAAATTAAACATTATTCTCGCGTGTCATCATGTCTCTCCGCGTTCTATCAAATGAGGAGTGCCCAATGCAAGTTATATGTCTTTAATGAAATATTTTAATATTCTTAACTAAAGCACGACATCAACTGATTAAGGTTTTTGTCGAGAGCATTCCCTTAACATAACGGGTTCATTGGTGCGTATATTAAAACTTCGGGGACTCTTTCTCATAAAAAAATGACATAATAGGCAATTCATCATTCATTGAGCACTTATTCTTCTAATTTTACCTCTTTAGAAGAAGAATAATTAAATATTAGTTTTAAAAGCTTAAACAACACTTTTAACAGAAACTCCTCAAAATTTACATTTCTATATAAAAATTCTTATCCAAACTCAAATGTATTCTTATGTTTAACGCTCCCCTTATATGTAAATAGGTATATGATTTTCAACACAAATCACGGATCACGTCGTGATTTGAAAACTTGGGTCAACAACTTGCTGGTGTAACAAGGACGCGAACTGTGTATGAAATTGTCGGAATTCGATAATTCATATTATTATGTTGTATAATCCGAAGTAAATAATCTAAGAATTTGAGATTTTAAGGATTTTAAAAGCTAAGGATTTTCTCACGCACAACTTAGAATCACAGAATAAACATGTTTTATTTTTTTTCNTCGTGATTTGAAAACTTGGGTCAACAACTTGCTGGTGTAACAAGGACGCGAACTGTGTATGAAATTGTCGGAATTCGATAATTCATATTATTATGTTGTATAATCCGAAGTAAATAATCTAAGAATTTGAGATTTTAAGGATTTTAAAAGCTAAGGATTTTCTCACGCACAACTTAGAATCACAGAATAAACATGTTTTATTTTTTTTCAGTTCTCACAAATGTTCTACATGAAATTATAACAAAACTTTGTTTTGTACAATTAAAGCTCTCATCCAATAGAAAATAACAATCCACTTTTTTATATTGGAAAATTTGACATATTTATATATATAAGAAGCCAGGAGTCTAAACTCCGCACGTTTATTTATTAATTATTTTTTTGAAATGAATTTTGGAATGCATGAGTAACTAAATAATACCACTAACTAAATACATTCAGATATAATCATAATATTTCACAAATAATCTTTTTTGTAACGCTACGCTGTTTGTATCTACTGACATTTATATGTTTAGTTTACAATTATAATTATAATTACAACTTACTCCAATTTGAATCTTATTAGATAAGAACAAACCTCAATATTTGTTTGATAGTCCATATTATAGTGAGCAGTAACACTTCATTCAAATATTTATTAGTACCTGAAAAAAAAAATTTGTTCAATGATAATTTTTTTAAATCATTCTCTTCGCAATTTCCTACCTAGTTTCAACTTGAAGTCTGTTCTCAATTTTAATTAGGTTTTTAATTTGGAATTGGATTTTATCAGGTCTGGCCCTTACGATCTTATTAGTGTACTGGGTTATTTTAATATACTGGTGACTACGTGTCGCTATCTACCATCATTGTCACCAGAATCCTATGATTCACTTATAGTAGCAGTTTTCTGTCTATAGTTATCATATCTGCGTTTTTAAGGGTAGAATGATTATAGTATAGCACACTTATAGATTTTGACCTCATACCAAAAGGTGGGTGACGACAGTCAAGTGATGTTGTATTAGCTCCGATGAAAATTTCAACAATGTGAGTTCGTCTGTTCAATTACTAACAAAAATACTGATTTGGCTTATTAGTTAATATTATGAGGTGTTGCCATATTTTAATTTCACGTAACGCGGTTCCAGTCAACGTATGTTTTTAAAAGAAACACCAATAAAAAAATACTAAATCTCACTTACCTACACTATTCGCGACGTATTTTGAAGGTTGCGTACGAGAATGTATAGTGATGATGATATTGGCGTCTCGCACGACCGGCGGCTCGACAAGCAGGATCGCTTCGCATCTCACTTTGATCGTGCCGCTTGCCGTCGGTGGAACTCGCAATCGGAGTACGCGCCATGACCGACGCAGACCTCCAGGCTGGGGCGCACTCTGTTCCGTCCGTTGCCACGCTTCAGGCTAAAGAACAGAATTTTGGACTCCTTTATTTATTAAACGCAAATAAATACAAATTCCACAAAATGTATGATACTAAGTTCTCTAAGACATTTTTTGCTTGTCACTTGTATGTAGCATATAGAAAAGCTATTTTGGAATATTTATAAGGTGACTAGCTGACCCGGCAGATATCGTAGTGCCTCAATCGATAAATAAAAGACCTAAACTTTTGTATAAAATAAAGTTAAAACAAACAAATGAAATCCGTCCGGCACATCAAAGGAAAACAAAATTGTTATTTTTATTTAATTCCGAGAATTTTCATATTTATCTACCTTTTAAGCCTTCCCTGGACTTCCACAAACAATTCAAGACCAAAATTGCCAAATCGGTCCGGCCGCTCTCGAGTTTTAGCGAGACTAACGAACAGCAATTCATTTATATATATATAGATTTAGTCCGATGAGTATTAAAGTTTTATAGTGTAAGTTTATGTACATAATAATATATATAATAATATAGGGATTAGGCCGTAACATATTGTTTTTGTCATATTTATTACCGTGGTTTACGATAAAGTTGTGCTAATTGTCATATACAACTTAAGTACACTGTCATCTGTTTTTCTATTTACATATTTTGGAATTCATAAGCATCCAATCAATGTAATATATTATGCGACATATTAAATCAGATTACTCCGAAAAACGTAAAAAGCTATTTTTCAAAATGTGTTTTGCCTTTTGCATTTACGAAAAGAACTCTACGAAGTTTTAAAGCAAAAAAAAAACATTTTTCATTTCCACGAACGAAACTAAAATCCCGTTATTTTGCCTAATCATTCGATTTGTGTTGTATGAATCCACGTCATTTTTAATTGTATTTTCTGGAAAATTCACATTGACAAAATATCCTGAGCTTGTTGTTAATGAATAAGGGTTCTCCTAACAAAACATTAAGGTTCGCTCCATGTTCCTTGGCAGATAATGCATAATATACAACGGCCAGTTGCCACTTGCCGTGGTGGGCCTATTTATTTAGACTTATATTAAATATATACACATTTCAAGGTTTATTGCCGAGAATAAAGGAAACCCATTTTGGGTAGAATATACAGGCCGTTTTAAAAGGCCATTAGCGAAGATTTAAAGAGTATCTCGACTGCTTAAAGTCAGTTAACAATGAGCTACCGTAATTCCAAACAAAGCAAACGTATTCCGCACAATGGCGCCAACGTCCTCCACTAGAAACAGACTACTCATAATATTTTGCAAGCACAAGTTAACTGCATAGCCAGATGGAAATTGGGATATCGCAGAGATTGAATATGCTGTTAATATAAATAAAGTTGACTTGTACTTAACATGACTTGGATTTATTTATGTTATATATTTTGGAGTACCATCAATATTTTTAACTTGAAATTACAATCAAGAGACTTGGGCAGGGCATTTGTTGCTAAAGAAAATCTATTCTAGCGAACTTTAGAAAAGTTGTTTTATTTTTTTTATTGCTTAGATGGGTGGACGAGCTCACAGCCCACCTGGTGTTAAGTGGTTACTGGAGCCCATAGACATCTATAGCATAAATGCGCCACCCACCTTGAGATATAAGTTCTAAGGTCTCAAGTAGTTACAACAGCGGCTCCACCGGTCAAACCGAAATGCATTACTGCTTCACGGCAGAAATAGGCAGAGTGGTGATACCTACCCCTGCAGAGGTACCCTCACAAGAGGTCCTACCACCAGTAATTACGCAAATTATAATTTTGCAGGTTTGATTTGTATTACACGATGTTATTCCTTCACCGTGGAAGACAATCGTGAACATTTGTTGAGTATGTATTTCACTAGAAAAATTGGTACCCGCCTGGGATTCGAATACCGGTGCATCGCTCAACATGAATGCATTGGACGTCTTATCCTTTAATCCACCACGACTTTTCCATTTTTTACCATTCCATGAAGAAAAAATAAAAAAATCGGGCCAATAATTTCACATGAACACATCCATTCATGGTTTTCGATCACATCTCGGAATAGGCTACCTAATCCTCTCAAATTGAACTCGTGTACGACGAGAGCAAACAGAATCAACTCAAGCTATCTGCTGAGTGGATTGTGCTTCGATATCGGCGGTGTTTGACGATGACTCACACAAGCCGGAACATACCACCCCACCGCAAATGTCAATCTGACAGCTGTCAAAATTACATAAAACCTCCTTAAATATATTGTGGAATACTAGTAACCTAAATTCACTCTGTAATTATAATTATAATAATTATACGAATGCATGGAACCACCATTAGGAATATAAAAATGTGTATAAGAAATAATAAATATGCGGTTTGTCAAAAATCGAAAATACGAAACGTTGCCATTTTAATGACTGTAATGCGATTTTTTTTGTACGTCATCCTTACGATAAACTCTCCTTCAAATTTTGAATGCATAAATAAATAATTTGCTATCAACGTTATAAAATTATGTTAACTCTCATGTCTAAGACTACAAAACGTCCGGCATTACCTTCAAAAGCCTCGTTCTTTAATTAATATTAAAAATGAAATGTATTGTATTACATATAATTTGACGGCATGGCCTAGTATTCAAACGCTGTTAAAAATTTAAACTACTACGAACGTTCGTGAGTTGTCCGTTAGTTGAAAATCAGCCTTTTAATCTTTAATTAAAAGCTTTTTTTAATTTAGTTTCATATGCTAACATTTCTTACAATATTAATAATAGGAGCAGTAACTTTTTTCAAAATTTCAAATTTAGTACAATTTTTAAAAAATATATATTATTACAGCACTAAATATAACATAAAGAAACGTACTCAAGATTGTAAGTATATCGCTAAAAAGATCTTGCGAAATGAAGCCATAAGTCAAATTGCGTTGCAATCGTTAATCGTTCGATATTCCTATCACAAATCCAATCGTGTTCACGTTAAGCAATCGAATAACCCTGGTTATTAGACGAGAAATTGTGTAGCACTAACCTTTTGAAACTCATCATCGATGTACCAATTAATATCGGACGGTGGCAACGAGTAATCCGACGTGCAGTTTAGGAATATCTGTTCCCCCGGCTTCAGTACTTTCGGAGCTCCAATTATGACAGGATCCATTTCCGGTATGGCTAAATTAAAAGCAGTTTTGAATAAATTACAGAAACTAGGTATCATAAGTTCATTACTAAGTTCCGTATTTGATGATCCGCTCGAGAGACCTCGTCCTTCTTCGATATTGTCCTTAATTCTTAAGTTGATTAAACCGTTTATTCCAAGCTACGGTACTATTGTTGAGTAACCGTCTTAATGTCGATGTCGACTCAAATTTACCCGAGATAATTGCGCGGATAAAACTTGTTGTGAGCCCGTGCGGTGTGCAGTTTGGTTTTGTGGTACACTAAACTTTTAGTCCGATAGTACACTCGACAGCAAAAGTTATAAACTGTTTGTGTTCAAGACATCGCGAAAATTATAGTAGTGAAAATTTCATTATGTGAATGTGGCTTTATAGGTTATTATGGCTTGGTTGGCTAGTGATGTACGAGTATTATGAAATCTTGAAAAATAATGATTGAATTGAATATAAAATTAAAACTGAACATCAAAATGTATCAATCAATGTATTTTATTTTTTATTGCTTAGATGGGTGGACGAGCTCACAGTCCACCTTATGTTAAGTGGTTACTGGAGCCCATAGACATCTACAACGTAAATGCGCCAACCACCTTGAGATATACGTTCTAAGGTCTCAGTATAGTTACAACGGCTGCCCCAACCTTCAAACTGAAACGCATTACTGCTTCACGGCAGAAATAGGCGGGGTGGTGGTACCTACCCGTGCGGACTCACAAGAGGTCCTAACACTAGTAATTACGCAAATTATAATTTTTGCGGGTTGTTTTTTTATTCAAATTGGCCTTAACAGGTGCTTTCAAAACCGTCATGACTGGTCATGTTCCGGAATGCTCATCACTGAGGAAAATTGGCAAGAAACTCAGGACTTGCTCTTTTGCTAACATGGATCCGTGTGATATGTAATATTACAACCAGTCTACATTGATTAAAGATCTGTTCAGTATTATTTTGTGTAGAGGACAACTTCAAGCCCAAGCTGTTTTATCATTCACATAATCGCTGACTAATACGTCTTTGCTATTCAAATTCTTTTTATTTTTATTTTAAAACTCTGAAAGCTCTAAAATCCAAAATACCAGTGGGAAGTTTACTGTGATAAATTATGCCCCAGCCAAGGAGCGAGTTATTAATTTTGTATAGGCGATTTAAAGGCTTATCCGGCTTACTTTGATATCCATTATTTTTTTACTGTGTGTCACTTCGTTTACTATACGAATTTTACATTTTAAAATTATGACGGACGAACATGATACTAGTATAAATATATTGCGATACAGCATATCAACTGTCGTCAAAACCCGCCGAAGTGAAATTCGAATTTTATATTTTAAACGGTTCGAATAACCAACTCTCTTTTGCATAATTAACATGTTCTAAATATCCTTCGTTTTAGCCCACAGCAGTATCTCTGCAGAAATAGCATGCAGATTTTTAATCTAGTTCAAGCAGACAATTATGTTTTGCATTTAGATCTCTCCGTGCGGACTCACAATCTACCACCAGTAATAGTATAGAATAGAACAAGAATAATTCTACCATCACTATTTCCAACGTTTGGACGATGACCAGAAATAATAAAACCACAAATAAGATCAACAAAATATTTCAAGATTCGAATGCAAACGTCGCTGATTTAATCTAAACAGCCTCTTGGACCGGGAAATAATGTGGATAGGGTCATTCAGTGACCGTTCGACAGTATTGTGTACTAATAGCCCAACGGATGCTTTAATAATAGAAATCGAGATATAATGTCCTTTGTGTAGAACTTTGCTATACATGGGACTATGTGAGACATAGTTATGTTATTAGGACATATTGTTAGGGAAATATTTTAGATAACAATAGAGTTTTGTTTATTGTGTTCTACGTTCGTTAGTAGGGTAAACACAATCATAAAACTTTTCGAGGACATGGCAGAAAATCAAATAAACTGTTGATAAATCGTTATATTTTTCTTTTTCTTTTATTTATAAGAAGTGGTTGTATTGAAATATTGGTTCGACTGGGTGCTTATTTAATAATCAAATGTAATTTTACGAGGTTTATTTTCCATTATATCCTGAATGTTATTATTAAATTTTCCCTTAAGTAAATAGAAAATACTTCTAAATACTAATTTATTTAAAATCCAGTTTTTTATTAGATAATTAGTACGGTTATCAGCTACCGTGCGACTTATTTTTGCAGAAGCAATTATGTATTCCAGTCGAAAGGGATACATAAAAAATCAAATTATGCAATGTCTTTAACGTTCGATAATAACTTAGCATTAGGAGGATCGTAGAAATAAAAGAAGATTACTAAATTTAATAACCAAATAGAAATGACTCACCAACAACAGTCATATGTTTTGTCTTTCTCGCAATAAAGAACTTTGGTCCTTCCGTTGATACTTCACAAGTGTATGCAGCTCTCGTAGCTATGGGCGGAGGCATAACTCGGACCATGCAAGAGTCTACCTCACATTTTCCGCCTTGCACCATGATGTCCGTTATATTGAACAGTCGTATTGGCGGCTGAGAACAATGAATAATACTCAGTCATTTTAAAACTGCTGCTATAGAACAAAAGATTAAAGGTTGTAAAAATGCAAAACTGTGTATTATGTAGTTACAAAAACACATGCATGAAATAAAATACAATTAGAAAAAGTTCCAAGTTCTTTACGAATCAATTGCCAGCCAATAGAAAAACTTAGTTTATTTCATTACTAGCGACCCGCCCTCGCTTCGCTTCAGAAATTGTTATTGGTTTATTAATTATTATTAAATTATTGTGATTATTAAATTTATTTATTTATTATTAAGTTATTTATTTCTCTACTATTTAATGGATTATATTATACATAGAAACCTTTCTCTTCAATTAATCTATCTATTAAAAAAACCGCATCAAAATCCGTTGCGTAGTTTTAAAGATTTAAGCATACATAGGGATATAGGGACAGAGAAAGCGACTTTGTTTTATACTATGTAGTGATAAATAGATAAAGGAATAGAAGCACAGATAATAAAAACATAACTACGCTTTTTGTAGTTTAATAAAGGAATTTTCCAGACCACAATCACGTATAAAGCGTAGATCGTCACAATTATTGCAGACTGTAAATTTCTTCAGCTGAATGGTGTGAATTTCCAACTATTTTATACTTTTCCACTTTACCCCTTTTCCACTGGAGTGGGTGTAATAGAAATACTTCGAAATTCCAAACGGAAAGCTACTTATTTCGTTTCTCAAGGCCAGACTTTTACTGTAATTTAGGTTGGACATAAAATATGTTCAAGCTGAAATTTCAATTAAAAAACCTTTTTTTTTGTTTCTTGTTTTTAATCTGTGTTGGCTAATACGGATTAAAAAATTGCTATTACCTAGGCGCGCCTCAGGGCTCTGGTAATAAATTAAAACCAGTTAGGCCGTGCGCTACTCTGATTATCTAGTGGTATTAATTAATACAAATATTTTAAATGACTTTCATAAGCACCATTATTTACAACATCTCTTAAAAAGCTTCGAAAATTCATTGTTAAATAAAATAAGAATTTTCTTGATCTAAATCTTCTAAAAATAATTGAAATAAATCTTAATTTTAAAACACCAAATTTTAGTAAAGTTTTGATGTCGCCATTTTTAAAGGTCACAATTTGAATTACGCGAACTCCCGAAGAGTTTTCGAGCTGCCCGATGCTAATTTCAAACCAACCCAGATTTAACCTTGGACATAGATTCACTACATTAAGCCGTATTTATTTTAATATAAAAAACCCTAATGTTGGTAGAAATATAAAAAAAAGATGTGTGGTGTCGTGGGACACCGGATAGGAACGAAGTTCCTTATTATAAAAATATTCATTTTAAGTTCTATTCGAGGTATAAAGAAAATAAAACTGGAGATTTCGCAACAACCTACGGTCATTCGGTAACGTGCGAACTTATTGTGGTACAATTCATTCACGGATGTTTGCATAAGAGTTAGTGTGTTGCGCAAACGAACGCTCTGAGATCGTGGTCAATGAATGATAAAAAAATATGTAATTTTTTGTACGTTATTACAGAGTTAAGTCGTACACTGTGTGCATTACTAATAAAAGTCTTACGCTACGGGCGTTTTTTCCCGATTAGGGTACCCCTCCGCATCGTCCGTTAAAGAACTTCGTTCCAAAAACTACGCAATTAAACGTGAAAATATCCAAAAGGCATTGCAGAATACATTTTCCATAGACAGCAAGCGATGCGCAGAATCACAATATCAGTTTCGGTTCATTGAAACTGTACGGACAGACGTGTGACATGGCTAATTGAATATGCAATTTCGAAAAGGGCACATGTCGCATATTTTGTCAAATACGTTTTTTCATATACATGTATGTAATTTTGAGGCTTACCCATTTTATAATAATTCTAGTAATTTTCAATTGCTAATTAACACTAAAATATACCTCAAAAGTTAATATTTTAAATTTTACACTGCTTTAGAAAATAATTTCAGTTTTTTTTTCATTTCCTGAACATTTTACATTTTCAGAGATGTGCCCCTTTCGATATTGCATATTCAATTAAATTTAACGCACCTTCTGTGACGGATTGTACCGGAAAATCTCGTTCATATCCCGGTACCACTTGACGGAGTGGAGTTTTTCGTCGTCCATTTGAAAATGGCAGCTCAGTTCGGCCGCACGTCGGGGATCTGCATACAGCGGCACCTTCAGCTGTGTGATGTCGTACGCCGATGTTATTGCTGTGAACAAAACATGATTCAATTTAACAGTAACGGCATTGTGAGTGTGGTGGCCTTTTTTTTTTGGTCAGAAGGAAATCGCCGGACTTCCGCCCTTCTCTGGGGATGGAGGGCGGGGCATGTCAGAGTTGTAGCGACTAAAACTTCTTTCGCTCAACAACCAACGTCCAAACCTCACATGAGACAGAACTCATGAAAAAGCAAAGGGGGGAAAGTGAAGCGTTTAGTGCGGAGCACATCTCTCCCATCACCCTCCCCCTCGGGACGCCGGACTGGTGACCGTCGGCGCCACGACCACTAGCCCTCCCGGTCGGCAGGCTATCCGAAGCCCGCCTAGATGGCGCCGGTTAGAGTGAGTAGTGTAGTGGTCTAGGCTTGAAATATTATAATGAAACATTAATGTCCGTTACAAGTGCCCGAACATGCGCGTTCGTCGTCCAAGAACAAAATGACAGTCTGAAAATTCACACAATAAATAGTGTAGGTATCGTAGGAAAACAAAAAATCAGAATCTAAAGAAATAAATGTCATTTACCGCCTCACAGTTTTTAATTACGTCATTTACCACCCCAAAATAGATTTTTATTATTTAGTCTAAGATCTAACTGATCGGATATTGAGTAGGTATTATTTATTGCTCAAAAACCATCAATAAATACATATAAAATTGCGGCCGCGACATCTGCGCGCATTTGTGTATATTCCATTGCCTACTAAGTTATAACTAAACGTGTGTCAAAACAATACTAGGTGCAGCTTACAAACTTATGTCAAATACAATTTTAGGTAAAGCTTATAAACTTGCGTCAAATATAGTTTTGAACTAAAGCGAGTTTGTTAGCCACGAGTCTTGTTCAACTTACTTGCGGGCTTACTGAGTAACACACAGCTAAAACGAAACAAGATCAAGATTTTTTTATTGCATAAATTGGTGGACGAGCTCACAGCCCACCTGATGTTAAGTGGTTACTAGAGCCCATAGACATCTACAACGTAAATGCGCCACCCACCTTGAGATATAAGTTCTAAGGTCTCAGTATAGTTACAACGGCTGCCCCACCCTTCAAACCGACACGCATTATTGTTTCGGCAGAAATAGGCGGGGTGGTGGTACCTACCCGCGCGGACTCACAAGAGGTTATCCTACTAACAGACAAAGAAATTATTTTATTATTTGCCTATTTATAAGTACTGGTTATACTACTATTGACCGACTGTTGCTCTGCGGAATCAAAATAAGCGATATAAACGAAGGTATATTTCCGTGAAGTTAAGTTAGAAGCGTCGATTTTAACACGTCTGACTGAGAAAAGGGTCTTGACAGAACGGACAAGCGAAGAGACGTACAAAATAATCATATAACGGTTACTTATTTTTTCTAGTAAAACTTAAAACACACAATACTGAAGTTATCGGCTCACGGGACGTCATTAAATTTTATGACCATTCCTTTACGGTTGAAGCAGTCCGTTTATGGAATGCACTACCCTTAAGCATCAAACAATCGTCCTCGTCGGAAATTTTGAAGTTCAAATTAAAATCGCACTATCTTGCACAATAATATGACTCCTTCCTACAAGTTGCTACTTATTTTGTATTTACTTGCATATTTTTAGTATTTATTTGTATTTAATCGTGTGTAAGTCTATCTTGTATTGTATTTATTATGTGTATATAAGTATTTATTTTTATGTAAGTTTAGTAAGATATAGCACCGTCCAGCTTACTTATTCCTCTCCCTGCAAGGTTGCCTGGAAGAGATCGCTTTCAGTGATAAAGCCGCCAATTTATGTCACCGATTATTATTGTTTTATATGCTTACTCTGTACATGTGGTGTTAAATAAAGAGTTATATTATTATTATTATTACTGTAACGCAAACATTCGATCGAATCATATGTAAAACAAACAAACAAAAACCTAAGCACACAGAGCCGCACTTTGTCAAGTAATCAACATTGTATTCTGAAAAATATTCCCAAATGTAACATTTCAAAATTTACACCTGACGTTCAGCTCGAGTGTATCTTAATTAAGGTCAATTTCACGTCAAAAATACGTTATGACAAATATGAGTTCATTATTGTAGTCCGTTTTTAAAGGTGATTTGTTGAATTAAATCTATTTTAATATTCATTAACATATCTTTGTATAATGATTAGAATACAATGACGCCCGACTGGATTATACTTAATAATCTTGAAGGAAACAACCGCATGCTGGCAGTTAAGATGATCGGGCTACTCATATCTCGCTCTGCTCTAATATCGATGCTGGTAGCGATTTAGTTTATTTTACTGGTGGTAGGACCTCTTGTGAGTTCGCGCGAGAAGGTACCCTCGCCTATTTCTGTCGTGAAGCAGCAATGCATTTCGGTTTGAAGGGTGGGGCAGCCGTTGTAACTATACTGAGACCTTAGAACGTATATCTCAAGGTGGGTGGCGCATTTACGTTGTAGATGTCTATGGGCTCCAGTAACCACTTAACACCAGGTGGGCTGTGAGCTCGTCCACCCATCTAAACAATAAAAAATAAAAAGATTTTACCCATTAAAACATACACGTAACATGTATTCAGGAAATACTCCCACGATTAATAAATTTCAGTTATAAAAATCAAACGTGCGGAATTTATACAGATACATATTAGAATTTAAACTTGCAGTAGGATATATTTATGACCAGCGCTAGTACAGTCATTCTACCAATTTCTGCAGAAAAATCAGCCGAGATATGCTTGAAGAGAAAATCCACCTTTCAAAATGAAGAACGATTGGAGCTCTTATTATAAAGTACCTACGAGCGGCCCGCTTTGGCTTCGCTTGGTTAGTAGTGAACGCAATGTAAAGAATTTTAGGTAATTTTTTAAACATTGGGTTACATTATTGGAGTTTCAGTAAGGATCCCTAATTTTTTGAAAATGTAATAAATATAGCCTATGTCACCCGGGGATAGCGTACGTAGCTTTCCAACAGTGAAAGAATTTTTTAAATCGGTTCAGTAGCTTCAGAGTCAATGCAATATAAACAAACAAACAAATCTTTCCTATTCATAATATTAGTATAGATAACATTTTCGTAACTTCAACCTCGTATCTCTAGGTAGAGCCACTTAACAGTGGGTGGACCTCCTAGTCTTCTAATTCATCAATACCATTGTTTTATTGTTAAAAATGCTGTTAAACATCTCATCATCTAACTTAGTTAAAGTGTCCTTATTCATCATCATCATCATTATCCTGCCCTTCTCCCAGTCACCTGGGGTCGGCGCAACATGTTCTCTCTTTCCATACTCTTCTATCATATACCATTTCTTCGCTCACTCCCCTCCTATCCATATCGTCTTTCACACAATCCAACCATTTCTTCTTAGGTCTACCTCTTCCTCTAAATCCTTCCACATTCATAGTTAACACTCTCTTAACAACCTCATTTTCATTTCGTCTCATCACATGTCCATACCATCCCAAACGTGCACTCCTCAGCTTCTCTGTCACAGGTGCCACTTTCAGAAGTGTCACTTAAAGTGTCCTTATTCATTTCGACCAAATCACTAATATATAATACACGCATGTATGTACGTGTGTGTGGCTTGCTGTTATAAATTTACATGAATACCGTACTTAGACTATTTTGAATACAAAAGGCTCAGTACAATAGACCCAACAAGTAATACATTAGGTGCGGAATAAAACATTTCTGAACAATTTATTGCGTTCAGTGAAAATGAAAACTGTTTTTGTCGAAAAGTTCATACGTGAAGTTAATTTGAAAATAGAATTGAAAACGACGTTACTCATACACCTAAATTATTTTATTTTTTGTGTTCAGTGGTTACTGTAGCCCATAAATATCAACAACGTAAATGCTTCCTCCACCTTGAGACATGAGTTCTATGTCTCAGTTTTACAGTACAACGGCTGCCCCTGCCTTGAAACCGAAACGCATTACTGCTTCACGCCTGAAAAAGACAGTGCGTACCACAGATGGGTGTTATCTGTGGTGCGTATCCATGCGAGTTGACAACACGTCCCACCACTAGTAAATACGCAAGTTATAATATTTGAGGGATTCGAACACCATCACAGTCGCATCGCTACATACGAATACACCAGGCGTCTTATCCTTTAGGCCATGACGACTTCATTCATCGACGACGACATCATTACATCACAAAAGATTAGCTAGGTTCTCATCGAAAATAGGTGGACTATTTGAGGCTAATAATAAAATAATAACAAAAAAGGGTCTATAAAGAAAACATAGCAAATAAAATTAAGCCTTTCTAATAATTTTGCGATAAATCACTTGATTGGTGTTCGAATTTCGAGTGACGCAGATTCTTCTATTATTGCCAAGGCGACTAAAACATCAGCTTCGCTGACTTTAAGTAGTCATCGTCGCTTGTGGACGACATCAGAAGCGTAACCAACAGATACTCACCACTATTGTTTCTTTAGTTTTAAAGAGACCGCTTCGCTTTCGAAAGAGGAGTTCACACTTTAACCTAATAATTATTACACGATTTCTGAACAAATATTTATATTTATTGTATCACAAAGCATTATTTTGAAACGATTAAAATGCCTAATCGCCTTCTAACATATAGCCAACGGCTCTCATCCAAAAGCGTAAGTAATAAAATTAAAAACACCGATATTATGTTCATTTACAATTCGTTTTATTTATTTTTTTTATTACGCCTGAATCTCCTCGCAGAACATTAGGTATTGTCCTGAATTCTATGTTTCACACATTCCTTTCGAGCGATTCAGTAATATTTAATTGGAAGTGAGGTTCAAGAAAGCGTGTAATAACTTTTTACGATCAGAGAAACGAACTCATTTACACACACGTGCTATTTCCAGAGAAAACGTTTAGAAGTAAGAAGAGGAACAGTAAAAATAAGCAATGACTGTGAACAAGCTGGTTTTGTTGCTATTTGAAACAATTACGACAAACTATTCTCAATGACGGCCGTCTGGTGTAGTGGTAAGTGACA